TCACTAACGGCGGTTGTGATCATATATGTCATAATAGCGCTGGCAGTTATGCCTGTTCATGTCGCACTGGTTTCATACTTTCATCCAATGGTCATACTTGCCTCGACATCGATGAATGTTTCGATGGTCTGGCGAATTGTAGTTCTATTTGTGTAAATCTTCTAGGTTCTTATGCTTGTACCTGTGAGGCTGGTTTTGAGTTGGCTGACGATCAAAAGACTTGCTTGGATGTGGACGAATGTGCCTTGGGACGTCACGACTGTTCTCATGAGTGTGTTAATGTAGATGGCGGCTTCCAGTGTACCTGTCCTCAGGGTTACTATTTGGGAGAGACCCGTTCCGTGTGTCTCGATATAGATGAATGTATTGTAACAGATCATGGTTGCAGTCATAACTGTTACAACACCCAGGGTTCTTATATTTGTGCATGTCCCGATGGTTTTACTCTCTCGGCAGATGGTAAAAAATGTTTAGGTGGTCGTTGCGATACAGACAATGGTGGCTGTTCCCACTTGTGTGATCCAGAAAAGGGCTGCGCCTGTCCTCTAGGTTGGACTTTGGGAGCTGATGGAAAAACTTGTGAAGATATTGACGAATGTTTAGATCAAAATGGCTATTGTCTGCATAAATGCCACAATACTCTTGGCTCCTTCGAATGTCGTTGCCCTGATGGTTCTAAACCTGCCCATGGTGAAGACGCTTGTCCTATAACTTGTCCCGCTGGTTTCACCTTTAGCCGTGATGATCCCTCCAAGTGTGAGGATATCGATGAATGTTCCCTGCCGGGTGTTTGTCAATATGATTGCCGTAATACTAATGGTTCCTATGAGTGTCTCTGCCCCAGTGGTTATAGGCTGGAGAATGGACGTGAGTGTGTAGATATCGATGAGTGTTTGGAAAATAATGGCGGCTGTTTGGGAGGTTCCTGCATCAATCACAATGGTGGTTTTGAGTGTAAATGCCCCTTGGGTTATAGCTTGGCTAACGATAGAAAAACTTGTGAAAAGCGTGTAGAATCCCGTGACCAATGTCAGCCTTTTGAGGCGCCAGCAAATGGAGAAATCCACTGCACCAAATATCGTCACAAGAAGAAACGTTTCTATAACACCAAATGTAAGGTATGGTGCAATCAAGGTTATCGTCTAGAAGGACCCAGTCATAGGCATTGTAATGCATCCGGCCAGTGGGATGATCATGAGAATAAATGTTTGCGTAAGTTTTTATTTTGGAATTTTCAGTTCGTTTATGAACACTCTTGTTGTGTTTATTGGCAGTTATATTTACCTTTAGCCACATAAATTGAATGTTTTTTTATCTCACCTTCCATCTAAATTTTTTTCTAATATTGCAGCAATTGTATGCCCACGTATTCCAACGCCAAGAAATGGTGTCATGTTGCCGCAATCATGTTCTTTGGGTTCAACTTATATGGGCGAACAGTGTCGCCTTAAGTGTAACGTTGGCTTTATGCCAGTAGGAAAATCAGTAGCTGTCTGCACCTCACAAATGAAATGGTCCTATGAGGGTACATTTGAGTGTGTGCCAATGCATATCGACACACGACTAGATGGCACAAATGATTTTACACCTTCCTTTATGCCAACGCTACACAAACAACCATTGCCCAGCATACAGACTACGTACCAAACACGTCCTTTGCCCAATTTAGCCTGGAAGCCACCCACATTTGGAGGTGCAGGTGCTGGAACTGGTGTTCAAAGACCATATATTAAGTGTCCTCGTAACACCACCGTATTTTTGGCCAATGGTGAACGTACTACCCATATTATCTTAGAGAAACCTGTTACCAATTTGGATTACCGTTACATTGAATCATCTCCTGCTTGGACTCGCGATTTGCAAGCTCATTTAGGACCTGGCAGCTATAATGTCGTATTCCGTGGTCATGATCCTATTACTGGTAGAAAAGCTCGTTGTAAGACTGTTATAAATGTAAGACATGCCGAAGGACCAAAAATTGTTTTCTGCACATCATCATTTGAGGTGCAATTGGCTGAAAATCAGGCTTATCGCTCCGTAGTATGGGAAGAGCCCCGATTCGAAAGCAAATATGGCTTAAAGAAAATCTACAAATCCAGGGTATTTATTATAAAATCAAGATAGTAATTAATTTGGTTAATATTACTTAATATCTAATATACAGATTCCTGGTGAATTATTTGGTATGGGAGTCCACACTGTCTTTTACGAGGCCACCAATGATGATGGTTTAACTGCCAAATGTGAATTTAAAATCAATGTTAAAGGTATTTCAAATTATCAATTTTCCTTTGGCCTTAAATAAATATTGTAAATCTTTTACAGAAGCTCATCCCTCTAAAAAACTACCTATGCCTTCCATCAATCTCACCCCCAATAAAGCCGACTCTTCTTCAAGTGTTAGCAATAACTTAAAGTACACCAGTGGCTTACATCCAGTTAACATGGTTTCACCACCGGTATCGCACACCGTTATGGCCCCTGTTACTCACACCGCCATGTCACCAGTTGGACATAATGCCATGTCACCTGTTACCCACAACGCCATGTCACCTGTTTCTCATCCTTCCATGATAAAAGCTCAACTTTTGCCTGGCCATGAATCGTTTATAATTTGCCCTGGCCAAAAACCTGTTAAGGTTACACATGCCCAATCTGTAAGTTATTATTATCCCGACTGGCTGATACATATACGCTTCAACAAAAAAATGCTTTACCAGCCTTTAGCTCAAAATAAATGACATTCCATTGCTTGGATTTCTTTGTGCTGCTTTACATTTTTGCTCAAACTTGAAATCGTGATTTTTTTTAAATTTTATCTTTAAACTTAATTCAATTTTAACAGGTCGATTTGCCACCCAATTGTTACTTGAAGAATGTACGTCTCAATCCCTTCCGCCAGTTTATGTCTCAACGCCTTATGCCTAGACTTTGGAACTCTTATTATTTTTAATATTGTCTTAAGAAACGATTAAACTTTTTTTATTTTCATAATATTTGTATATTTACTAGCAGTTAATATAAGTTTCCAATTTGTATTTTTTGTAAAGATCCATTAAGAGAATTTGCATTTGTAAATTATAAGATTTTTCTAATAATAGAATTGCGTTTTATTAATGTTTATTAAACTTAACGAATAGGTGAGTACTAATTATTTTATGGTGTATTGCAATCGGTCTCACGTTTGATCCTAGCTCATAATGCATAACAGGCTTCAAAATATCTGTACATCGACAAATTTCGATATCGGAAAGATTTTGAGCATGAACGATCACTGCTTTAAGTATCATGTGGATTAATGGTTAGGTCCATTAAAGGGCCTTTTATGAAAATCCCTCTCATATTTATATTATTTTCGATATATGACGGGACAATACAATGAACGGATCAATTCATTGCCAAATTCAGTGTAGATTGGAAGCTTGTGTTTCTATGCAATTACTTCGTATTAATTAATAACTAACTACTAACTACTACTAACTAACTAACTACTAACTAACTAACTAACTAACTAACTAACTAACTAACTAACTAACTAACTAACTAACTAACTAACTAACTAACTAACTACTAACTAACTAACTAACTAACTAACTAACTAACTAACTAACTAACTAACTAACTAACTAACTAACTAACTAACTAACTAACTACTAACTAACTAACTAACTAACTAACTAACTAACTAACTAACTAACTAACTAACTAACTAACTAACTAACTAACTACTAACTAACTAACTAACTAACTAACTAACTAACTAACTAACTACTAACTAACTAACTAACTAACTAACTAACTAACTAACTAACTAACTAACTAACTAACTAACTAACTAACTAACTAACTAACTAACTAACTAACTAACTAACTACTAACTAACTAACTAACTAACTAACTAACTACTAACTAACTAACTAACTAACTAACTAACTAACTAACTAACTAACTAACTAACTAACTAACTAACTAACTAACTAACTAACTAACTAACTAACTAACTAACTAACTAACTAACTAACTAACTAACTAACTAACTAACTAACTAACTAACTAACTAACTAACTAACTAACTACTAACTAACTAACTAACTAACTAACTAACTAACTAACTAACTAACTACTAACTAACTAACTAACTAACTAACTAACTAACTAACTAACTAACTAACTAACTAACTAACTAACTAACTAACTAACTAACTAACTAACTAACTAACTAACTAACTAACTAACTAACTAACTAACTAACTAACTAACTAACTAACTAACTAACTACTAACTACTACTAACTAACTACTAACTAACTAACTAACTACTAACTAACTAACTAATACTAACTAACTAACTAACTAACTAACTAACTAACTAACTAACTAACTAACTAACTAACTAACTAACTAACTACTAACTAACTAACTAACTAACTACTAACTAACTAACTAACTACTAACTAACTAACTAACTAACTAACTAACTAACTAACTAACTACTAACTAACTAACTAACTAACTAACTAACTAACTAACTAACTAACTAACTAACTAACTAACTAACTAACTAACTAACTAACTAACTAACTAACTACTAACTAACTAACTAACTAACTAACTAACTAACTAACTAACTACTAACTAACTACTAACTAACTAACTAACTAACTAACTAACTAACTAACTAACTAACTAACTAACTAACTAACTACTAACTAACTAACTAACTAACTAACTAACTACTAACTAACTAACTAACTAACTAACTAACTAACTAACTAACTAACTAACTAACTAACTAACTAACTAACTAACTAACTAAATAACTAACTAACTAACTAACGAACTAACTAACTAAACTATTATTTAAAAGAGAAAACTAAGTTTAAATAGGCGATTGTGTCAAATTTAATGGAAAGCCTAAAAGGCACATTGCGAGACTTTTGAACGATTACGTGAAAACCCTATTATTATAAGATTTCTTCTTTAGAGTTATTGAATGGAAAGTTATTCAGAATCTTTGAAACATTTGACAAGAGTTCGAAGTGGTTTACGTGAGTACCTGCCGTGTTGGCCTTATTTCAAGGTGGAACTTTTTCAACCACAGGATGAGCTTATTGGACGATTCACCATCACGCCATTGTGCTTCTTACATGCTGGCGGCAATTTTTGTTCGTGGTTCTGCAGATCCATGTACAATCACTTGTTCTTTATCACAGAGAGCACACTGTGGTAAATCTGGTAAAGAAAATTTAATGGTAACCCAGCACACTTCTTATTCATTCGACACACTCATAGAAAACTATAGCCCTAAGTTCCGTATACCCTACATCAGTCATGGGCAAACACATACCACCATGTGTATATTTGTGTGCGTTAAGCAGCAGAGAGATGACTGCACGTTATAACAAAATGGTGGTACACTGAGAAAAGTTGTTTTCTATTGCAAATACTTTTTACGACGAGAAAAACTCATGAACTTTTGGGCATTTTAAACAAAAATGGAATAAAGGGAAAGAGTTTTTCATTTAAGAAAAGTAGTAGTATTTTTAAAAAGTAGTATTAAATAAAACTACTGAAATATCATTAAGAAAATCACGACTTTCTATTCGATTTCGAACTTTTAAGGGATATTACCGAGATATTAACTGAACTTAATTTAAAGTTCAACTAATCTATCCAAATCAATGTTTCCTTTATATTCCTTAATACGCAATAAGTCACCAATGTGTTGATCGGTTAACCTTTTAATTGCAACAACTTTACTTTTCTGTCATGTCCCCTAAGGTCATTTAAGGGTCCATGGCAAGTTTCATAATGCCTTTTCAAAAAAAAATAAAGCTTTTCTACATATAATTTTATAACATACGACGCATTGTGCCTCACCGTCCATGTTTTCTATAAAAAAGAAATCATTTTCCCAATTTATATCAAACATTTTGCTAGGTGTAATAAAAGAGGAAAAATCATAAGCATAAAAAAATCCGCAACGTGATCTTGCTTCTACAAAAGCTGAACAGCAACTAATTTGATTTTGATCTCTGAGATCGTAACAAAGCAACAAACAAGTGGTCATTTTAGTAAAACACAGACACACTAATACACACAAGCTTATAGTGTAGTGTGTCAACAAAGCGTCAGCAGAATTTCTTGGCCTATGCACGCGTGCATTAGAATTTCAGTTTTGCTCGTGACTGCCCTACATCCATTATGTATTATATACATTTAACACCAACTCATTTCCAACGCTTAGTCCCACAGTCACTTCTCTGTGGAGTGCAGACTTTACAGTACATCAGTCTTTTAACAGGCATTCCCTTCCTGCGAATATGGGTTTAAACCACAGCCACCACGTGCACTCCGAAGGAACCTCTTCAATAACCGGGACAAGACAAAATCTGTCCTGCGGGCTACCGATATTCGTGGTATTAGATTACTCTGGTTTGACCTCATGTCAAATCATTCTACATTTGATCATCACCAGTTTATAGTCCCGGCGAACTAGAGGTACTGGTAAGAGGTGTAACCCGGGATTGCAATAACACCAAGTTGGAGTCTTCCATCAAGGTAACATGCCCCCGTGGATATGAAATATTTGACAAATAAATGATCAAACAACTTGTATAAACTGGTTCTAATAAAATGTGATAAAAAAAACTTTTTTTCACCATAAATTTTAAGCGCCGACATATCTTTGACAGACTAATAAAATAAAATGTTAACAAACAAAAACAATTAGAAAAAATAAGTAAACACTAAAAACATGAAGATAATAATGACAACTTTAATATTTACTGATAGCTATCAGAATGCTATATAGTTTTCAATAGGAACTAAAATGCACAATACGGGTATTTCAATATAATACTTGGATGCGACATCGATATGGTGACAAATAAGAACTTGTGATTAATTTAAAAAAATTCCGAAACGAATCCAAATAACATAATTAATCAAAATAACATTTATGTATATAATGTCTAGGGGTGTGACAAAAAGTTTTTTTTTGAAAAATAATACCACTTATTTACATACATTTATACTTAATAGTAGTATGTTTTTTTTTCTATTATTTTTTAATAAAACATTATCAAATTAATAACAAATTAACAAAACAAATAAATGAATAAACAAATCTTATATTTGTATTCACATTAAATCCATAAACTTGCGATTACACATAAATGCCGCAAACAAAAATATATTCACTTTTATTCAGTCATTCTTGAACCTATTCATCCAATGATTTATGACGCCTTTAGAAAATTTCCATGTCACGATTTAAAAACAATTAAATAAATCGAGAGACGCCTTAAATAACACTTTGCTTTTAAAATACCAGTATTTAAGAAATTCTTAATAGATTAGTTCCAACTAATAATTATACTTACTTGTGCCAAAAATTATGATGTACAATATAGTAATTTACATAAATAATTTTATTAATTAATAGCCTTTATTAGCTTTATCATTCGTTTAGGAATTTTCATTTTATACAATTCTAAAAATAACTTTAATAATTTTTTATATCTCAGGTACTTTTCTTTAAATCTTAAAACATAAAAAAATAGGTTGGGTTTAACAGCCTTAATTGAATGAATGTTAAAACTTAAGGTGATAACTCTTTCAGAATTGGTCTTGAATAATTCTTGAGTAATATTTACTCTTAACTTTAAAAAATCTTCAGAGAATGAAGAAATATCAGGTGATATTTTCAACAACAGAAAATCCCCTATTCTACAAAAATCTTTATTAGATTTTGGTCATAAAAATATTTCTATAATTTGAAAAAGCTATTGTTAGACTTGTCACGTTATAGACGATCTTAAATCAATAAAATCTGTCTAAAAGGCTATATAAATCTATGAAAAGATTTATGGAGAGCAACTGAATAAAATTAAATCCGTATTTTAAAATGATATTTTGTTTTAAGTCGTAAAATTTGCAGACATTATTTGCTTTTTGGAATAATTTAAATGAGTGCAAACACATACCTAAACACATACTGTTGTAGCTTCAATATAAATATAATAATTATATTAATATAATATCGGATCTGTATTGATTGATCGGGATTTATTTTTATTATCCATATACCATTACAT